GGGAAAAAAAAAAAAAAAAAAAAAAAAAAAAAAAAAAGAAAGAAGTGCCATTTGATAAGAACATAATATAGTATTTACCATCACTTTTTTTTTTTGTTACTGGGGATCAAAGTTGGGTCTTTGCACTTGTAAGGCAGGAGGAGGAACCAATGAGCTAACTCCCCGGCCCTACCATCACATCTTTACCATAGCTACTTTCTTTTGTTCCCTTTTGTGTCCTAACTATGAAAACTTGCCACAGTCATTCTCTCTTCACATTCAATTTTCATCTTGTACTAATCATTTCCTGTATTCAATCAGCCAGCAAAACCAACTGATCTGTTTTGAGATTTTAGTTCAGTTATTTGACATTCTTAATTTCATACTTTTAAATTAGGCATAAGTACCTTATAAACTACATTGCATTTTCAGCTGGACTCTATGTTCTGTCATAGAAACTTCCTAAAAATTCACATTTTCACATTATGTACCTGACTTTGTAAGTAGAGCCTATTTTTTTTTTGGCCAAAGTATCAAGGACTATATAATCAGAATCTATCCAGTTTTATCTCTTTCCAATAGAAACACTATAATTCCATTTAAAAGTTCTTTCTTAAGAATCATAAAAACCAAATGCAATATGTATGGCACATGTCTGTAATTCCAGCTACTCAGGAAGATCACAAGTTTGGGACCAGCCTAGAAAACTTAGTGAAATTGTGTAGAAAAGAAAAATAACCAAATGCAATGTTCATTTTTCTGAAACAATCAGGAATTCAAAAAGAACTGGATATTATAACAGGAAGAGATTATGTTTGTGAGTTATTAGTATGGTGGTTATATATTAAGGAAGAGTACTCATATTGTAGAAACATAATAAAATAGTTGTAAATGGACAGCAAGAATGTCCAAGCATGATACTCCTCTGGTCACCAGGTAAGTAGCAAGCAGAATAAATAAATTACTAATCATTTTCAGGGCAGTGATTATCCTTTTCCAGTGCATGATACTTCAAGGCATCTTAAAGAAAGGAGATGCTTATAACATATTATTTTCCAGTTCTTTTCTCCCCTAATCAGTAGAGATGCCTACTCAAACTTTGATTCTCCACTAAAGCTACTTTTGGAGGTTAAAATACTTACTAATCCCTTTTGTATTTATCTCTAAGTTTAAGGACAATTTAAGTCTATCATTTCTGGTGAATTTCCATTCACCACAAACTTTTGAACATAGACAACTGTTCTTAGTATTATCGAGTATTATGCTGAGTAAACAATTGATTCCACTTTCATACTTATCTTTTCATTCAAATTGGACTAACAATGTGGCAATCTTTTCCTGGTATATGCTGTACCATTTTTTCATTCTTGTACCCTGTTCCAGTGGAAATATCAAAGTGCCACTATCCCTTAAATCTCTGCTTTAAAGTTTGATTGCTGAAAGAAAAAAAAATACAGAAGGAGTCCTAATGACTGATGTAGAGTAAAAGGAAAGAGCTACTAAAACACAAAATCAGAAAACAAAACTATTTCATTTCTTGCCCTTTTATCTTCATACAACAGTCATAGCTTCAAGTCTAGTAGTTTATATTCTGGGCTGTGGGCCCTTAATTAGGTCTACCAGCTTTTGATATATCTCAGGTTTCCATTCTTATGCTCTTCCAAGAAAAAATAGTCTTTGAAGGGTGAGACAAAAAAAAAAGTGATTTGAATATAAATCTAAAGAGATGGCAGTCTTTAAATACCTTGAGTTGATTTTTCTAAAACAGAAAAAAACTTAAATTTTAAAAAATATAGTAAAACAAAAGTTGTACATGATGCTCTTTCTTTGTACATGATTTAAAACTCTAGTTTTGTTTCTACTAACATTTTTTGTTTAGGCATATTTACTTTTATTTTACAAGTGCTCTAATATCAGTTCATTTAGTTTACATAAAGCATTACTGTATTTAACAAAAACATTTAGAAATTCTAGGCACATTGCCTAAATTATAAAACCATCCTGACTGCACAAGAATTACTGCATTTCTAATTTATTATCAATATAATAAGCAACAGGCATAGTTTATTGAGGGGCAATGACACAGAACAGTTAAGCTGAAGCCAAAAGAACTAAGAATCTTGCTCTGTCCCTTAGGAATCCCTACTCTGGGTAAGTTATTTCAGTACATAGACCTTCTGGTTGTTCTTCTTTAATACCGAATAATTAATGCCTATCTCATACCTCTGTTGTTTAGATTATAAAATCTTTAACTTGTATGAGCACACCTAGTGGTGAATAGGTGTTCATTAAATGCCTACTACATCTAAATTTACAGTAGAATTTGACTTTCTGACAAACTTTAAGTGTTGGACTATAGCAGATCAACACATACCAATAGACCTAATGACAAAGAGCAATATAGTGTAGTCAGGCTGCATTAAGTAAGTACATTATTTGTAAGAAATTCGGTGTACTTTGTACCTGGGTCACATGGAGTACACCGGATTTAGTTCTATAAACAGTACTTTAAAATAAATAGTATAAAATGTAGCTGACTTAGAATATGATGCTTATGGTCTAGAATTGGTTCTATCAGAACCTATGGAAGGATGTGGATATGTTTGGCCTAGAGAAAAAAACATAAGAACTAGAAGACAGATCTAGGGCCAAAGAATAAAGTTGTACACTAAGCTGAAAACTGCTCATGAGAATTTTATTTTCCACCATAAATACAATTTGTAACACTATGGAAAAAGTTTACCACAGTTCTTAATATGGCTAAAAATAAAGATAATTTGAACTGACTTTTAAAATTATGTTAACAGGGGCTGGGGCTTTAGCTCAGTGGTGACGCCGCCTGCTTTGAAATAAAGAATCACTGATTGGCCAAACTAAGGATAGGAAAAATTGTAAGAAATTTTAAAATGCAAAACAGTGGGGTACGGTGGGTCATACCTGCAATTCCAGCACTCAGGAGGCCGAGGCAGGAGGATTGCTACAAGTTTGAGGCCAGCCTGGGCTACATAGTGAATTCAAGACTAGCATGAACCATATAGCAAGACTGTCTCAAAACAAACAAAAAAATTCAGATATTCTTTCTCTAAATCTTTTTGTCTGAGGTAATGAAAATCGGATCAGTGGTAGGAAACCTGGAAGTGATGGCATTCTTTAAAGTAAATCCTATAAAATATTTTAAAACTTTATTTTCATGAGCTACAATAATTTTACTATGAAAAAATGAGATTACACAAAATATTTTAAAGAAAAAATTAGGGGAAGGGCAGCAATAAGCTACAATCTTTTTAATTTTTAAAAATTTTGATATAGTATCCTGCCACATTGCCCAGGCTGGGTTTGAACTTGTAATCCTCCTGCCTCAGCCTCCCACAATGTTGGAATTATAGGTGTGCACTATCACATCCAGCCAAAAAATTTGTTTTAAAACAAAAATAGCTATAAACTTACTAGTTAGTTTTAATAGGAAGACTGAAACTGATAACCTTGGCCAAACAAGTGTGGAAACTAACAAATGAACATATATTTCAATTCTACATTCAATTTATTTCTCTTTTTACACAGAAATAAACTTAGACACTCAAGTTTCAGACTAACTGTAGCTAAAATTTTACCAAATGATCTGGGAATGTTACCTACTATATTTATGCTTAAAGCTTAAAATCCCTACTGATCAGAATTCATTATATTTGTATATTTAAGTTTCTGTTTAAATCAAACATGTGGAATATAATTTTGCCTTGTTTGAATTTTGCTAAGAAAACAACATCCAATATATAACTTCATAAATAAGAAATTATTATTTTTTCTTTGATTCCCTGTACAAACTGGGAAGTTGTTCAGGGCAGGAAAACACAACTCCATAATTTTGACACTAAAATTAACTTTATTGCTGCAATTTTTTGAGAACATAAGAAACAAACCTAATGAGAAACATGAATGCTCAGTCTTAACTCAGTTATTCTGTTAAACATACAATATATGGCAACTAAAAAGGCTTTGAAGACAATGAATACCTGGCATTTGATTAAACATTGTATAATTCCTAAAAATAGCAGTTATTTAAACAATGACCAAAAAAACAATTACAGTATTTTGTGAACTTTTCCTATATTAATAAATTATAGGCTCACCGTGGCAGGATGTGCTTGTAATCGCAGCACTCTGGGAGGCTAAGGCAGGAAGAATTCAAGTTCGAGCTCAGCCTGGACAATTTGGGAACTTAGTGATATTCTGTCTTAAAATAAAAAATACAAAAGGGGCTAGGAGGTAGCTTGGTACAAAGATACTGGGGTAAATCTCTAGAACCGCTCAAAAATAAATTTAAAAATTACAGAAAAATCTGTAACTTTAAGGGTTTCAATCTGATATATTTACTAAATAGTAATTAATCTTACCTTTTTACCACTAGTACCATAAAAGTATTATTATTTAAGGTAATTAAAATTTTCTTGTGAGTGGCAGAGGTAGTGATTTACATAAGACAAAATTTCTATCACAAATTAAAAATCAAGATTTTCAGCTGTATAGTGCATAATTTATATTTTTATCAAAAGCAAAACAAATCTTACTATCACTTGCTGTATATCAGTAATGACCCCACTGATTAAAACATTCTTTTCCCAATATTCTGAGTTCATCTATATTTATACTCTTCATAATTCAATAACTGACAATATTTTCTAGACTGGCATCCTTACATGCCATTGCTATTTTATGGCTAACTCAGTAATATTTCTAGAAATTTATCTGGATAACTTGTCCTACATGGGAAATAGTTTCTCATTTCTCTTTATACTCAAGATAGGCAAATTTGTAAGTCTCTTAAATTAGGAAGTAATTTGTCTCGACTAAAGTAATTTGCAGGACTACCAACATAGCATTGAATGGTGAATTTTCCGCTTTATCTCATGTCTGCCTATTTACAAAGTCAGGGTGTCTTAAAATCTATTACTTTAGATTAAAAAGATAGTATAATGTTCTCAACTGCTCACAATGCCCTAAAGATGTTTAAAGCTCTAAATAGCTAAACTCACATAACAGAAATATGTAATTTAAGCATATGTATTTAAAAATGCAATGTGAAAATTAAATGGTTCAAAAAAGTGGAAACAGGCAAAGGCAGACGTCTATAATCCCAATTACATGGGAGGCTGAGATCAGCTGGGCAGCTTAGAGAGATCCTATCTCAAAACAGACAAGGACTGCAGATACAGCTCAGTGTGATGGTCCTGTAGTCAACCCCCAGTTCAGCAAAGAGGGGGAGAACGAAGGAAAGCTATGATTATTTCTCAGTCTCTTGTTGGCAATAAAAGTGTTAGATGTTTACATTGAAATGAAATCTTGAAGAATATTTACTCAATATGGAACAAAGAACCCAAAGCACTGCCATTATTTAATTTTGACAGCACTGAACATATGAACACTTCTGGAAAACACACACTCCATAACTTAATATTTTTTTCAAAATCCCCATCAGAACTATGGTATTAAATAAACTCTAAAATTGAGAAAGGAGGTCCCGCCAAAATCACATAGCATCACTGAGTACTGTCACTATGTACCTATTTTTCTGGATAGTGTTTAATTGGAAATATTACCATCTAAGATTTACAGTAAGAAAAGGCCACACAAACTCCCTATGTAGAACACACAACAGAAAGCACTCCAACTATAAAATATGGCAAGTGATCTAATGTTTGAAAGACTCTGGAAAACAGCCAAGAAAGATGATTTGCTTAGAAATTTATAAAGGAGATAAAATGAGGTAAAGAATATGGTGTTATCTGTGCTTATAAATCAGGAGGTAAATGATACCAATTTCTTTTTGAAAAGTGGATCACCCTCCAATTTATAGTAGAAATATAATACTAATATAAAAGATTTCTTTTCCTAAGAGTTAAGTTGAAGAAAAGCTGAGCTGGCTTCCAAGGGACCAATTACAGAACCCAATCCTGGATTATATAGGATTCTTTAGGGATTTGCAAATGTTTCCATTCTAACTTTCCAGAGACAAAAACATTAAGGAAAAAAAATTAGAAAAATAACTGACCTGTGGCATTTGGCTTCTACTTTGCAAACCAGCTCATTATTAACAGTTTTCAGCATTTAACTGATCCCTCACTCCCGCCAAACCTCTTATTGACTTTAATGGCTGATCTTCTATACTCACAACATCAACCCTCTTGCATACATATGATCTGAAATACTAATACAAACATGTTAATGTAAGGAAAGCATCTGAAGCACTAGTTTTCATTTAAACAGGTTCATGCTTCAACATGAACAGAAACATGAGACAGAAAAAACTATACTTGAGTTTGAGTTTTCTTTAGAGATGGAGAATTAGCTCAAGGAATAGATGAAAATTAACCTTTCTGGTAACTTATTTTAGGGTCTGAGACAATTTTAGGGAAATAAGTATATTATGCATTTAACATGAATTCTTCCACAGATACAACTAATTTCAACCTGTTAGAATTATTCCATCATAATTTACAAGTGTCTCTAATGTCAAATCAGAGGAAAATTATGCTTATTCTAAGAAAGAGGTAGGCGCGCATATGTACAGTACACCATGTGAAGTTGTGGTTCAGAATTTGGGGGCTGAGTCATTTGTGGATTTCAATAACAATTGTTCATGGAAACTCCCACAATTTTGCAGAAACCACAAATATCTTCCACAATTATTTTTTTGAAGGGAGGTTTCTAACTAGCCAATCTGAAACCACTACTCAGCTCTCCTTGCTGCTGATTGGCTGCTGCGCTGTTACCCATCTCTGGCAGATGCACCAACATTCCTACATGGTAACAGGTTGCTGTACGACCTGTAGCTATCTCCAGTGTTTTTAGTTTTGTTCTTCTTAAATCCCTAAGATCCCTAACACATGGCAAAATGCCCTGCACCTTCTAAGGTTTTATTGAGACAATATTTTATTTTATTTTTTTGGTACCGGGGATGGAACCTGGGTCCTTGTACTTGAAAGGCAGCAAGACAAGCAGTGGAACCACTAAGCTAAATCCCCAGCCCAAGACAGTATTTTATTATAGGACACAATGGTAAATACCGAATAGTTTCTCTGGTGTGAGAAACAAAGTGTAAAGAAGGATCAAAATGTATAACAATGTGAAATAGGAAGAAAAAGTCTAAAGGGGTAGGAAAAGTGGGAGGGGTAGGGGAAAGGAAAGAAGGGAAAGAAAAAACATGAGAAAAGGAAAAAATTGGAAACAAAGTCTCTGTAAATAGGGAAGGGTGGAGGTGTTGAAGGGAGGGCAGGGGAATGGGGAAAAAATAAGAACCAACATATATCATGTAAAGTTACAAGTTCTCAAAGATAAAGGTAACTGTACTGCATACCTAAAATGTATCAAAAACTCAATAAAAAATTTTTTTAAAAGAAGGGTAGGAGAGGCAGCTTAATGTTAAGGCCCTAGGTTTAATTTCCAGTATTGCGAAAAAATAACAATAATGTAAAAAAAAAAAGGCAGTATTTTATTAAATTATATAACTGTGGGAGTGCTTAAACTATAAAACGAGGCATTATTGGGGCAATTTTCTGATCATATATGAAATTTGTGGTTTTTCACAATTCACAGGTGCTCTAGGGATGTAAGCCCTGCCAATTTCGGGGTCCACTGTATAGAAAGGAAAAGGAATTGCTTTTTTTTTTTTTCTTACCTTGTGAAGTTTTTTTTTTGGTACTGGAGAATGAACTCAGGTCCTTGCGCTTGCAAGGCAGGCGGTGGAACCACTGAGCTAAATCCTCGGCCCCATCCTGAAGTTTTAATAGCCAAATGTAAAGCTCCTCACAAAGGCTCTAAGGGAATGTAAAAAAAAATGATTTCAACTGGAAAGGATACTACAGTATCTATCTATGTACTTATGTGGAGACAGGGTCTTGCTATGTAATAGGTCAGATTGGTCTGAAACTTGCAGTGAACCTCCTGTCTCAGCCCCAAAGTGCTGGGATTACAGGTGTGACACCACGCCCCACCATATTCTCAATTTATAAATACTCTAAGATTGATAAACTTGACTGATGAGAATTAAAAAAGACTAGTATTCAAATGTCTTTGAAGGAAAAGGATTCAAAATTGTGATTCTCACATTTAGAGATAATAGGGCCTACCTGTAAAATACTTCCACAAATACAAACTTACTCAAGGCAATATTAGCTCTAAACTGTATTAAATTAACATTAAACCCCAATGTGCATGGGGATAAAAGATTACAAAGTTATATTCTAGGATGAACAGGGGAACAAATCAGAAATCAGAAATAAACTGAAACATGACACCAATGGTAACTACCAATGGCAGTGGGACTGATACTTACAAAAATAAGAATTGCTGGGCTAAGGAGCCTGTTTTGTTATGGTCTTCATTTTATTATTAAACCTAGGAAAAGGATAAAGAGCAAAGACTTTAATCATTTGATCACAGAAGTTAGAATACTTTCAACCTGAGGTCAATGATCATTTATTTCTGATCCTTATATATCACAGAACAACTGTATACTGCAAACAGCCAGCAGTAGCATTTACATTCCTTTATAATGCAATTATTTTTTAAATTTGCTTTTGTATTACTTTCTGAAACAGAAATAAGAAATGTAACTAAAACTCATACCTCAATATCTAACTCGAAATATTCTGTGCTTCTGGAGGATATCATATAATATGCAAATATAATATCATAACATATGCAAACATTTTAAATTTATTCAAAATTACATATCAAGATTGATTTCTCTCTCTCTCCTAAACACATACTTTCATATACACACACACACACTTGAAAAATCTGAAAGTCATGTACTGCTCAATTCCAAGAATTTTACTGTATAGGGTATGAATATGAAGTTAGAGTTTAAAATGCACAAAAAGCCTATGAAAAGATTATATTATGATGTTATGGACAAAAAAAAAGGGGGGGGAGTTGTGGGATTGAATCAGTGAATGAAAAGCTCATGATAAATAGTTTCCATGGTTGTCCTTTATTGGCAAGAATATGATGGTTTAAAAGCCAGTACACAAAGGCAGGAAATATTACAACTCCTTTTTAAAAATAAAAAACTATTTTAAAGATATCTGAGTAACCTGAGTTGGTTAGAATGTTTGATTTCTGTGAGCCATGAATATGAGTTGTAGTTTATACCATGTGACAGAAGCACTTACAAGAGACAGACTAGGAAGATTACAACAAACACATCCAACTTCTCAGTGGAGCATTCCACTGAATATTTTATTGCAAGATTATTTTCTACACACACACACACACACATGCACATTCCAGCACACTTTTCATATTAAAATTCACCGAAAATTGAAAAGAAATCTAAAAGAATCTTTATATGCTATTCACGAACCCCCCCCAGCTAATTCTAATATTCTGCCTACACGGTTTTGCTTTTATTTTCTTAAAGAAAAACAATTACACATGTAGTTCCTAGTGTGCTATATACTCTGATCCCATTTCACTTTCTTAAGATCTAACTACAAGCTTAAATTTGATGTTTATATCCTATGCGTTTTTACACTATTACTACAAAATCAAGTATTTAAATATATTGCATACAATTGCTACCAAGCTTTGTTTAAATGGCATATCAGCCATACCTTTTAAATATACTACTGTATATAACCTTCCTACAAAGTTTTTGTTTTTGCTAAAGACAGTCATTCAGTGATACACAACCTTCATTTTAAAAGCTACAGAGTTTATCACAAAACAATGCCCTGATTTACCATTTCTGGTTGCTTAACATTTATATTACTTTCAGTATTTTGCTTCTAAAAATAAGATTTTTAAATACATATCTGAGTTCATCTAGAGCATTCCAAGTCTAGGTATCTTCAAATTTCCTAGGATATTGTGAAATGCTCCAACAAGCAGAATATGAAAAGTTCCCCTTTTGATACTTCATTTGAAAGTATATTTAAGAAAAACAGCTGCCATCTAGATAAAAATTTAAAAATTTTTTAAGTTATCAAGTCCTTCTGTTTTCATCCAGTATGTTTAACATAGGTATAATAGATGTTCCAAACAAACAGACCAGACTAAAATTTGGCCCAAGGCACTTGGACAAAGCATAAAGCTTTGATACTAGATTCTTCACTATAGATTTGAGGAAAACACCAGTACTTAATTATAATTGTTGTTACAGAAATGTTTAAGATTCAATTAGACACTGAGCTTAGGTAGATCCCAGATATTTAAAAGAAAAAAAAATCAAGAGATATGAATGGTTTATTGGTGTGGAACAAAACTCCACCATTTCATTTTGTACAGTGCTAATCACATATGGTGCTCCTCAAAAAAGAAAAAAATCTTAGAGACTGTAATAACCATAAATTCCAAAGCCCCAACTCCAGAGGTCCTGATATAGCAAATCCAGATAAATTTTTTATTTTAGGTTATTCTGGTATTGGTGGTCCACAGACATTAAGTGGTAATTAATGGAGGAAAAGTATTTTTACAGTAACAGTACTTAGGGTTACCTGTTAAATTACATTAATGTACTTAAAAAAAAAAAAGAAACCTCAATCTATGGTTGAATATCCTTTGACTTTACAATGCCAAAATAAGGTACAAATTTGTTTACTATTTCACATGAATAAGGTCATACTATGACAAAAGCTCCTTAGGTAGTAATACCAGAGGAATATTGTATTCTATTTCGTAGTTTACTATGGTTGATAGAAGAAAACATTAAGAGTAGGCGTGATCAGGAATGATTTTTAAAGATAAAGAAGAACAAACTATGGTTGTCTTTCTAAAATAAAGAATGCAAAGTGAAAATAAAGCAAAATAAAATAAGAAGTAAGGAGATAAAGCTTTCTCAAAGGAAAAGGGATAAAGAGGGAGTAGGGAGAAGAGGGAAAGAGGTTGAAAAAAGGACTTGGAGATGTGTTATGTTCATGTACCAAATCCACAAAAGGAATTATGTACTGCAAACATGTACAAAAAACCAAAAATAAAGGAAAGGGATGAAGAGATGGGTAGGTTGGGGAAGAGGGAAAGGGAATAAAAAAGGAATTAAGATATGCTACATACATGTACCAATTTCTCACAAATAATGTAAATATTATGCGCTACACATGTACTAATAAAATTTAAAAAATTTTTAGCAATAAGTAATCAGTAATAAAGAAAATAATGCTACTGAAGCTGGGTGTGTAATTCCAGTACTCTGGGAGGCAGGGGCAGAAGGGTTAAAATCTGAATCTAGCTTGGGCAATTTATTGACTGTCTCCACATTAAAAAAAACTTTTGAAGCGTAGGAAATGTAGCTCAGTGTGAAGGCCTTGAGTTCAATCCTCAGTACTGGGGGATGGGGAAACTACTGCAAATGTAGTATTTTAAATTGGGATATTAAGTTTACACATTAAAACAAGAATATTACTTGTAGTTTCCTACCAATAGCTGTACAAGTAAGAATAAAAGTATAATATCCACTTTCCTGTAACTAAAATGTATCAGAATTATTTAGATATAAGAAAACTATGTGAACTTAGGTTAGATAAGTCTGCACAAATAGTACAAATTGAAAACTCTTGTATATTATCTGAAATTATAAAGTCCCATTTCCAAAAGATTTAGAATAATTGGAAGTGACATCATTTTAATAATGAAAAGTAGCAGGCATACTACTGTAACAGACAAAATAGTTTAATAGTGAGAAAAATAGGACACATTTTCATCTCTGTTTCTTATTATTTACAGCACTGAGTAGTATAAGATCTTTAAAATTATAGCAAAATCAACAGTTGTTTATATGAGGTTAAAAAAGTGAAGTTAGTATGGGCTCAGAATATGGCCCAAAGTGTGGGGAGGAGGGCAAACCACTCTTATATGGCCATAGTTTACTTTTCTTTCCCAAATATGTATCCTGTTTTACTTTTTCGGTTTTTTTGAGATAGGGTTTCAATATGTAGTTCAACTCAGTATCCTGCCCAGGATGACCTCAAACTAGTATCAGCAGCTAATTAGTAAATTTCCCCAGTCTATCAGCTTAAAAGTGAAAAGCATGAACCACACCATTTATAATTCCAGAAAATAATTTCCAATTCTAACAGGTAAAATTAACCAAAGAAATATTAAATGAACAAAAACTATAGATTATAGTAAAAAAAATAATAGCCTAAGTAAGAAGAATAAGCACGTACTGTTTTCTTTCTGCTACAGTGTGAAGAAAATGTCTTTCTGTTGAAAGTGTCCCCCAAACTGTATGAGTGCAATGACAGTGGGGCTTTAAAATCTGGTCTGTAAAAACAAAGGGTTACAGGCGTATTTGGCCACCATTACTGCATATTGATAGTATTCTGAAGAACAGGTGACAAGCAGTAGTCATGCCCCAGCCTCTGCTACCAGCTGTAAGGGACAAGAAAAAGGGCTGTGGTGGTAATATTTATTTATTCATTGTTATTGCTGCCCCTACTTCTTAAGTAGCAAGCTCAGAAATGTATATGCAACTAATAAAAGAAAAAAATGTTCTGCCCAACCTACTGACCAAGACTGCTTATATTACTATATGATAAAATTGTGAATTTGTTTAAAAAGTGGATGAACACAGAAGAAAAGACAAAATTGTATTTTGGTTAAAAAGAGAACCTGCAATGTAGGCATAAAGGAAAAAATTAATGACATGTAATCATTGTCAGCTCCTAAGATTAAACTGCTCAATTATCAAAAGTTTCTGAAGAGTTTTAACCAGTTTTAAGGGTGAATGCACAAAAAAGGTATCTCTTCTAGCTAGTCTCCAGGGAATAAAGTGCTCAAATTCCAATCAAGAAATGAAATTAATATTTTGCTTACAAAATGCCCCTGGCTTCCTCCCAGGTCCCACATATCTAATCACAACCATATGTTTGACTTCAGACACTATTAGCAAAAGATTTAGCAAAAATCCCAACTATCAAAAAAACTTCCACATGCAATTTACCTACTTTAAATGTGCAATACAGCGCTAAAAGCATAGTAACTACATAGGATCAACTGATGAGTAATATAAACAGAAATACTGATTCTGTTAAATTACCACCTTTAAAAAAATGTAATGCTACTTAAAGACCTACAACTTTAAATGTAAGTCATGTTTAAGCTTATTTATTTTTATTTTTTATTTTTTTGTTCTCTTTTGAGAGAGGCTCTTGCTATGTAGTTCAGGCTGGCCTGGAACTTAGGGTGATTCTCCTCCTGCCTCAGCCTCTCTGGCACTGGGATAACAGACATGCAGCACCACACCCAGCCTTCATGTTTAAATTTAAAAGCAAGCCACCTTTCACCACTAAAGCAATTTTTGATTCAGAAAAATAAAATTTAGAAAAATGTGAACATATTTTGACACCTAAACTCATACATAGACTACAACTGGCAACTTAAATAGTAATACCTTGTCACAAAGGGTAGTTTTTAAAAAATAATGAAATTGTAGTGATATTTTATAAAATAAAACACCAACTTTATTATTTTTACCAAAATTTAAAAAGGATTTTTTGCTTAGCAATTCAGTAAATGTTAAAAATCAGTATTTTTGAAAAACACACAATAACTTTGCACTGCACATATATGAAAGCTATATTATAGAAAAGATTAAGTACTAAATTTTTTAAAAAGTAGATATTCAGAAATAGTAATGAATCTGCTTCAGAAATTTAAAATATACTGCATGTTTGCCCTCCAAGTTATTCTAACCATGAAAATAAGAAAGTAAAACCAACCAAGTAATATATTAAGGAAATATCAAATATAGTTTGTAGTGCTAAGAGAAATTCTACTTCAAAATATTTAATAAAAATTAAAAACCGGGCCAGGGATTTAGCTCAGTGGTTCTGCCACCTGCCTAGCAATAGCAAGCACAAGGTCCCAACTTTGATCCCCAGTAACAAAATAATAAATAAATAAACAAACAAACCATTGCAGCAATTAAATGTTACCTTTTGAAAAATACTAATCAGAAAACATTAATTCTGACACATTAGAAGAAAAACAACAGAATTAGTTTAGGTTATTATTTATCACTTTAAGAAAACATACACATGCATGAAGTTGCTTCAAAATAAATATTTAAATTTTTTTATTAAAAGTTAATTGTATGTTATTTTTAAAATTCTCAGTAACATTCTAAAACCCCTATCAAAACTGCCATACTTTACAAAACTGCTTAAAATATGTTGTCCTTTAAATCTAGTATATCAGACAAATTAATGAAAAAAATTAAATTTCTTCACTCAGAGATGTTAAATACTCTAAAGAAAACTTTTAATAAAATAGAAACAGAGATAATATGCTATATTTTAAGGACAATCAAGGGCTTAGATATATTCAGATTTGCAAATGTAGAAGTAAAAATTCTTACATAAATGCACTTTAAGTGTTGATTAAAAGACACCAAATCAAACAAAACAATGAAAACCTTTATCAACCCTGACAATAACATATACTATTACTTAGGTTAATTTCACTTGTGAGAAATGATAAATACAAGAAAACTATTAATACCTATTGATGCTATTAAATATTTACTAAGTGAAATTTTTAGACGTTTACAAGCTACTTCATAACTACAGAGGACAATGATATGTTAAATATTTGTTTTCAAACTAAATTTTAACACCCTCAGACATCATAAATTATATCTATAAATCATAAACAACTCTGTGCTTGTATATTTTTACTTACAATATAACTCATGGTGTTTCTCTTCCTTCATTTAACTCATTAAGGACAAGTGAAAGTACCTGGATTAAAAGTGATAAAATGAATCCAGATACTCAGATAACTTTATTTTTCAATTTTATCTTAACACTCTCTAATTTGGAAAACACTGAAAACTCTAATTTGGAAAACTTGGGGAGTAAGTATTTCCATCTTATTTAAAATAAAAACTATCTTTACAACACTCTAAAATGAAAGTTATGAAGATATTCTATACTGTGTATTCATTTTAAACAATCACCTTACAGAATGACACCAATAAAATAATGCCAAACTTCTATAGAAGTATCAGATTTCTATTAAATTTTAACATTTTATTTAGCCTCGATTGCTGACAGACTCAAATTCCGGGGTTATCTATCTAATAAACTATTTAAAGTTAAAAGCAGGTCTACCATCATGATGAAAATTATACTTCACTCAAGACTAAATTAAAATTTTTCTAACACAAACAAACCTTTGGGATTTCCCATATCTTGTTATTTTTAGATGAAAATTTTATAGAAAAACCATTCTTAGATTTTAGCAATTCTCTAAAAAATATCTTTTAAAATATTACCATTAATACTTTACAGTGAAATAATTAACCAGCTCTACTTAGTAATACCGTTCAACATTCATTTTCATAATATCAGACTGTCATTTAGAAAACAAAAATTTTATTAGCTAAAAACCTACTGAAAATTTCAAGCGAAACTATAAAAAAATGGCAGAAAAATGATTCTGTGATGAAGTATTTTTGGAGGTTAAATAATAAAACTTATTGGTTGTTCAGGGATTCTATAACTTTATTACTGAAGATTTAGTAACTTTTGATATGAACAAATTGAATGTTTTTAATCGAGTATCTATGAGTAAAATGTTAGTTTCTGCTTAAGAAAGTGGGTTTTTCAGTTTCAACCAAATTGGCACTTTTGGTTAGGACACTACCTGGAATTCTTTATAGTCTCTTAGAATTTTCTCAATCTTATCTAACTTTATAGACTCTACCTACCCTCTACATAACAGATAACCAAAAACCAAATTTTTGATTTAAATCCTTCATTTTATAAAATGAAGTCCACTATATATTTAATTATTTTACATAGCACATTGCAATAACATCCTTAAGGGAAAAAAAAGAGAAATTATCATTATACAGTGTATACTCTTGGGAATAAATCTGTTCAGTTGGAGTTGCTCTAATGTAATTTGTGATCAAATGTATTAAAAAAAATCTAGAGTTTTAATAAGCAAATCAGTTTTGACCATTTCATAGGATTTCTTTTTAATTACTGATTTTAGTCACCTAAGTTTCAGCATTAACAATTTTCAAGACCAGTTCTGCTGCAAAGATAAAAAGTTATATGTGTTTAAAATCCATTAGGTATACCTTAACCTCCTAATCACGTTCCAATGCATGTGAGTATTCAAAGTTTGGTTGTTTTCCAGAATTGGCTCTCTTAAAGGTCAAAACCTGCAATAAAAATGTCATGTATTATAGCATGAAGACACTCAACAGATTTGTCTCCTGTATTTCCACAGCTGATCCCTGAACACAGAAGTAGTCTTCAAAATGCCCCAATCTTGCCAATGCTCAAAGAAGCCCTAACAGTGAAAATAATGTTTAAAAAATAGAAATAACTTAATTAGGAACACCTGTGATATGTTTTGTCATCCGAAGCCTCTTCATACAAATCAGAATTTGTTTCTGCTTTCATTTCTCGTTAGGGCATTTGTTTTCAAAGCAGCATGGATGCATGTATATAGGTAGAGAACCAGAAGAAGGGGCTTTAAAAAGAATGAGAAATACAGTTTTTGCTTCTAAAACTCAAAATCCACAGACCTTATAATATTACTTAAGGGACAGGGACAAAATTTAACTACATTTCCCCTCAAATTATCAAATGATCATTATCATTATTTTTAACTTTAATTTTTTTATCAAGCATACATGAATATTTGAATATTTCCAAGTATTTAATACATGACAGTTCTAACATCAAAATGAGATTTATTATTTAAATAATTAAAATATTTACAAATAACAAATGGACAACTACTGCACCAGTTTTTAATGTTTCCAAGTAGAGGTGAGATTTAAGTGAGTATATAAGTGTTTTTTTAAAAATATGCTTCACCTTTCTGAATCTTAAAGATTTAGCAGCAACTATATAAAAATAATAAGCTACCAAGGTTTATTTTTTAACCAAGGTTTAAATTACATAGTGCTCTGAATGAGTTTTCCACTTTTATTAAAGAACGGCTTAGGAAAACAAACAACAAAAAACCAAAACCAAAAAAACCTTTATTCCCAAGTCAAATATTTAATTGCTTAATGACAAAAGCCACACAATCATGTATCTCATAAATACCAATTCAAATAGCATGACATTTAAAAAATTAAAAGTTTTCTACATTTTGAGCACACTGAAACTTAAGGTACATTGTTTAAAAATAAAGAAAAAATCCTAATGTTAAATTTTTAATATAGCAGTGTACGTTTTTCACAGTAAGGAAAAAAAAAATGCTACATAATGATAAAAAAGGTCCGGATATAAATAAGAAAAATATTACACTAAATGTATATGATAAAAATGTGATTATTAAAAGGCCTTCAGACAGTAAAATTCTAATCTATCACAGCCTATTAATATTAATAAACCACTACAAGTCTTTCTAGTGCAAACATTCTCTAGTGAAAATAAGATGGATTAAACAAGTGTATCAAACTTCTTATGACTCAAGTACTAAGAAAAAAATCAAAATATGAATTTAGCATTAATTTCATTATTTTGTTTTCTTAAAGGAAGACACTTAAAGCATCTTTAAAACTACTAGAAAACACACACACACACACACACACACACACACACAAAACCAAAAATGAACCGAGCAAACACTATGGGGTAAAAAAAGTCATTTCTCTACCAGAAAGCAGTATTTATAGATCTAAAGTCATTTGCACATACAATCAGGTAACATCCACATATATTAGTAATATGCTATTCTAAATATGATGTTGTTAGCATAACAGTCACCACTTTAATGTTCTAATGGGTGTCACTTTATCGCCTTTTCAACATTATTTGAAATAAAGTAGTATTTGATTACTGATACTCTGGTTTTATGACATTTGGGGCAATAAACTTTCAGCAATCACAGTTTTGGAGTTCTAATTATGTGCAAAAATTAGGTGTAAAGCAGTGTTTCTAAGTTTGCTCAGTTTGGAAAAAAAAAAGAAACAAAAAAGTAAAACAAGACAAAAACTACCCATATATTTTGACAATCCTAAAATGTATGTTCTAGTTATAATTAGACTAAGCTTTCTCTCAAAAGGGGTAAAAAAGAAATCAATGTGGGACTGTCATTAAATAAAAGTAAAAAAGAAGACAAAAAACAATTTTAAGTCAGTAGTAGTTTAAGAATACAATCAACTTTTTCAAAACTAAATTTACAGTTGACAAATCAATTGATGAAAGCTTATGTGTCACAGAATAGCTAATATTGCCTCTGGTAATTTTTTTTTCTTTTGGTAAACTCAATCAACCGACTGGCATTTCATAATTAAAATATTTTGTAACATTCTGGATAGTTACTAGGAACCAATAAATAGAAATTAAAAAATATACATATGCCTTCATAAAACAAAAAACAAAAATGTACTACACAAAACAAGGGACTCAGAATGTGAAAGCTACTCTGAAATTTTCATCCTTAGATGTGATTCTTGATAAACATTAAAAGTGATATTAATCTGATTTGAAAATATGCAGTATTATATATAAACACCCGAGGTTACATTTTGGAAATACACAATGAAGTTAACAGCATTAAAAAGTCTAAAATTAGACTTTTACTTGGATTAAAAAAAGTTATAAGGCGTAATCAAATGAAATAAGATTGATACCTTTTCTTGTTACCTCTCCCCACAGTATATAAATGTAGCTTTTAAAAAAGGTGAGCTACTGTAGCAGCATCTTTCCCCACCATCTACAGTATCAATTTCTATAGAGAAACACAGATAACTACATATAAACATTAAAAAAATATATCTTTTGGACTAAAACCTACATGCTCACAAGTACAACACGAAAATCTAGCTAGCATCACATAATAGGGAAAATATTTTGAATGCTGTAGATTTTATTTGGATAGTGTATTGAGAAGCTTTAAGTATTTAAGCATTTAAGAAATAAAGGAATCCATCACTTCTCTCAAACTATGGCTTATTAAACAAAATAACCTTCACCCATCACCCATAAACCAAAGCTCTAAAAAAGTATAACTAGTCCAGAGGAAGATAGATTCCCCCTACCCCGAAACACTCTCCCAGTCACACAATTGGGATGAAAATTAAAATACAAAAACAAAGGCCAGCACTAAAAATCAAGCCCCACTATCCCTGGTACTCTAGGTATAAAGACATTTAAAACAGAAATGAGATATCCTATGATTTGATTACATCAAATTTTATAGAGGATAGTTAGCACTTTTTACAAAATTTTCATGAAGTGATACAAAATAGAGCTTTGAAAAAAAGTAATGAACACAATTATTGTTATGAAGACAATACAAAATAGCATGATTTATACTCAACTATACAGCTTATTTATATATTTACAGCCTTAGATTTTATAAGTCTTAATGTTCTTATTTGAATATTTTCTAACAATGTATAAATAATATAAAACACAAACTTTCAAAATTTCAATTACTATTCATAAAAGGATATATATTTCTGTGAAATTAAAAAAAATTTAAAAGCAGCAACAATTGTTAGCAGTTCACTGCAATTATAAGCAGTTTACTACAATTGTTAGCAGTCTTTTCTCTGAAAACCACACCCGCCTCATAATAAGATGCAATTAAATGGAACGACAAGCTTGATAATAAACAAATATATTGATGGCTGTGTCAAACAACAACAAAAAATCAATTGAAAACCAACCATTACAGTATATATTTCTTTATCAAAGAAATGCAATCACACACACATATATATGCACTATACATATACATATATATATGTATGTATATATATATATATATACATACATATATATATATATATATATGCACCTGTTCATACTTACTTATTCTATTAGCTAAATTAAACATAGAAGTCTTGTAAATTAAAAATTAAATTCCACTGCAAGGGTTGAATTAAGCAAAATTCTAAAAATATATCCAACTTTATGGAGCATGTGGAAAAAATGATTTAGCATTAAGAAAATTAAAGTTTATTTTCATCAAAAGAACTCTCCAATAATCTGCATTCAGCAAATACATGTAGTTTAAGATGAAAATTTTTTATCTAAGGAAAAAAAAAAACATCCTAAATCCTTCACTCAGTTTTTAACCAATAGGAACACAGCTAATACATAGGTTTTGTAATTTCGGCCAGCAGAAATACAATTTTTGGGAAAACAGCCCCTTCAGTTTTACTTTTAATATACATTTCAGAACCACCCGAAAGTCCTTTATGGAAGAAAAAAAAAAACTATTAAACACTAACTTTTCTGTAATTCCCCATCTCAACGTTTTGTACCTATCTTATATTAAAAATAGTTTTTCGGTAGGTTGAGAAAAATAATCTAGCGTTTAACGTTCAAACCCCCCAGTCGGGCTTCCTTCCAGCTAATCAGTGGGTAAAGAAGTCCAGGATTTAGGGCGCTCCGTTAGATTCAATTTGAAAAACATCACATTGCGTTCTCCTATTCTCCTCCGGAAAAGATACTAAGTGAGGGCGGGTCCCCCAGTCTTCAAGGAAATATACGAAATCAATCGTTCTATTGCTTTCAGAGTTAAACTCAGTAGACTGACAGTCCTAAAGAGTGTGTCACTGCTGTTCCCAAGAAGCGTTATTCCTCTTTGCGAATTGCTGCAAAAAGCATCTCCAGGATATTTGCAATCCAGAGCCGTGCGCCCCACATGCAAAACATCCCACCAGCGAAGAGTTAATCTAGTGGTGTCTTCAGCGCAGAAAAGGTATTCAACATGTAACGAACGCTTAGAATGGGATTTTTATAAATGTTATTATTACCCATTAAGTATTACTACTACCGTTAAAGCTGTTACTAGCTCCCTTTATTCAAGAGCTGTCTACTAATGGTTGATAAACACCAACAGCTAAGAAAAAAAAAATCACTAACGGAAAAGACAATTCCTCTTTTTTTCTCTCTGCCTCAGCGTCAAGAGTTCTCAAGAAAAGGTGGGGCTATCAAAATTACCAGTAAAGTTGTCCTAAAAGACTTTTCTGGAGGAAAACATTAATAGTTTCACAGGTTGCTTTTTTCCTTCGAGACAAGTTTCAAGGTTTCGATCAGACAAGAAAATAGCTAGCTCTAAACCTCATCTTTCATCTCACCCTGAACACCCCTCCCCCTCTAGAAAGGACAACGCGGGGAAGGCTAAGAACACAAATCTCCAGCAAGAAGCGAAAGTCCAGCATCTTTCCCAGGAGCCC